TACATTTCTAAAGGGCTTTGAAGTTATGTAACATTCCTTTTCTTCCCCCAACTTTACAGATGAGAAAATTAAGGCCTAAACAGAAAAGGTGATTCCTTTCAGATCAGACCACTGGTTATTCGAGCCAGGACTGGGGCCTGCGGCTGCTGCACAGGGCCCACAAGGTGCAGAGAGCCAGGGAAGGGATGGTGGGAGGTGAGACCATGCAGCCCCACAGCCCTTGGGTCACTTAGTTGAGGGACCGCAGGACCATTCAGCAGGGACTGGGAGCCTTTCACACTGATTTATGAGGGGGACTCCACTGGAGGACTCCTGGGTGGGGATGCCATTTGTTACTTCCCCATGGACAGCTTCAAAACGATGATCACAGCACATGACCCCCGCCTAAGCATCCATGTGCACAGGAGCCTGTGCACACACACAGCCTTGCCTTAATGACTCCCAGGCCATCTGGTGCAACCACCCCCGGGGGACTCCCAGGCCTGGGCGTCAGGTGTGGGGGCCGTCACAAGACATGGCCCAGAGCTGGATTCTTTCGGCCAGCAGGAGATACATTTGCATAGAGCACTGAGTTAGAGCTGGGAGAACCCAGGGGCACCCACACTGAGATCCGGGGACGGGCAGGCTCCCGGGAGCTGCTCAGCTCATTGGGTCAGAGGTCTGCAGCGGCACTAGTCAACAGAACTTCTCATATGATGGAAATGACACAGAAATGACAGAGGACATCTGCTCGGTCCAATACTCCAGCTATATGTGGCTAGTAGACACTCGAACACGGCTAAGGAGACTAAGAAACTCATTTTCTTCTAATAAATACTAAAATGAATGAAGATATTACGCCATTTAAATCTCACAAGAGGGGACGCCTGGGTGGCTCCGCTGTAAGCATCTGACTTCTGCTCAGGTCTTGATCTCAGGGTCCTGGGATGGAGCCCTGACCATGCAGGGCTCCACGGAGAGTCTGCTTATGCCCCCCCCCGGCCCCGCCCCCTGCTCAAGCTCTCTTTCTCCCTCACTCTCAAATGAACAAATAAAATCCTTTTAAAAAATAAATCTCAAAAGAGACTTCTGGGTGGGATGCCTGGGTGGCTCAGTGGGTTAAGCCTCTGCCTTCAGCTCAGGTCATGATCTCAGGGTCCTGGGATCGAGCCCCGCATCGGGCTCTCTGCTTGGCGGGGAGCCTGCTTTCCCCTCTCTCTCTCTCTCAGCCTGCCTCTCTGCCTACTTGTGATCTCTCTCTCTCTGTCAAATAAATAAAATCTTAAAAAAAAAAAAAAAAAGAGACTTCTGGTAGGGACTATTATTTTGTCCATTTATAGAATGAAGAAGCTGAGGCATGGAGGTCAAGTCACTTGTCCAAGGTCACACAGCTAGAAGGTGGTGGTGGGGAGAACGGAAGCCGGGCAGTATGGATCCAGAGTTCCTTCCAAAGCCCTCCAGTAAGCCCTGCCCTGCGGACATGCTGCATTTCTGCCTCACTGCCTGTGACACACCATACACACACACACACACACACACACACATACCCAGGGTCTGAGAATCAGAGCTCAGCTCTGGAGGGGGATGCTCACTTGCTGGAAGAGAGCCCCTCCCACCCCTCGGCAGGGCCCCCGTCCAATAAGCAAAACACCAGACCAGCAGCAGCAGTGGGAGCCTTGACTCAGTGAGAGAGACATGCGTCCCTGAATGATGCAGCGACCGTCTCACAATGGAAGGCCAGTCCCTGCCCTAGAGCACCTCCCCATCAGACGGAAGAGGCAGGGACAATGCAGAGGTTCCCACTGGGGTCACCAACAAGGGCAGGTGTCTGTTGAACCATCAGCAACCCCGTCAACCACGCTGCCTCCATGTCAGCTGACCCCAAGGAAGCATTTGATAAGCCTTTCCCGAGCCTCTCCAAAAGTGAAGGTCTGGAGGAAGTACGGCATCGCAGTGATCACTTCCCCCGCACGCCGGGATAAGGGAGCCCTGTTACAGCTAATTAGGAAAATGTATTAAGAACACGACTTACAAAAGGCCCCATGGTTCCCCACATCTCATTTGCATTGAGCTGTTGTTACCTTATTGATTATATTAAATTAGGAGATAGTCACACCGTCTGCAATGCAACAATTATCATCATCAAACCAATTAGGATCAAATGGGATGTGGTCCCCGTCGCTCCAGCTCGGCACTCGGCTATTTCCAACACTGTCAGCCGGCCTTGTGAAATAACTGTGTTTCTACTGAAACAGTGGCAATCAGCAGAAATCTTCCCAAGAGACCCTCCTCTTTCTCCACAGCTCTGTGTCGGGATATCTTGTTACGCAAACACAAGCAAAATGATACAACTGGTATCTTTGGTAGCAGAAGTCTCAAGGGGGACGAGGGGAAAGCTTGACGGACAAACTGCACCAGGCCGCAGATAGCCTTAATCAGCTCATCACAGAACTGTGTGAACAGACACCTTCATGCAATGGCCAGCCCCCCATAAGCCTTGTGTGCTCCCCCACAACCAGAACATACACACACACAACACGTGCAGACCCCCTCACTCACACGCAGCCCCACAAACTTCATCAACGCCACCCCTTGAGCAAAGGCACACAACAAACTCACACGCACTCACACTCACACACCGACACCCGCTGCCATCCCTGCCACACATGCCTACAACCAGCACACTCGGGCACAGTGCACACATGATAATTATACACTCAACACGCACAAGCAAGCCCACACAGGACACACACACACTCACGATGATTTATCACAGTCACACACAAGCACAACACACACACGAGCACGCATCCCTTTTGAAGAGATCCTCGATGGAATCCAGGGGTCTGGCCCAAGGATTCCTAAGATCCCCCCCTGCTCGTGGCTGCTCCTTCTCAGCCCTTGCTGACACGCCACACCCCAGGTTTGGTGTATCACTCTCCACAGTGTGGTGTGAAGCCCTGTCCAAGGTCATTACCCGCTTTGTGGTCATCCCTCTCGGTGACCAGAGCGGGGTGGCGGGGGAGGCGGGGGGCACATGAGGGGAGTCGGGCAGAACACCAGCTGCTCCGAGGTTTTCTGGGAAGAGGCAGCCTTCGGAGAGAAGCGGCACCATAAAGACCTTGATCGCACCAGTGCCTGTTCATCTGTTCCCACGGTTTTAACCCGGCCACCATTTACGGAATGCACACGGGATGCCTGTAGCGGGGTTATTCCCTCATTTATGCAATCAATATTTCCTGAGTGTCTCCTCTGAGCCAGTGCTATTCCAGGCGCTGGAGATTCGACAATGAACAAAAACAGTCACTGTTCTTGTGACACTTAGAGTCTAGAGGAAGAGACAGATAATAACGTAATAAACCACTATATATATAAAATGTCAAGAGCGGTGAATAAAAATAAAGCCGACAGAGTGTGGGGGTGCTGATAAGGGGATAAGGGGACCAGAGAGGGCCTCCCTGGTGATGTGACATTTGAGCAGAGATTGGCTGGAAGGAGAGGCGAGCCGGCTGCTGCAAATGTCTGGGAAGAGAGCATGAGAGCCGAGGGACCAGCCAGGGCAAAGGTCGTGTGTGGCCGTCCCTGGAACAGCAGGGCGGCCAGCACAGCTGGAGAAATGAAGCAAGGTGGGATGCCTGGGTGGCTCAGTCAGTTAAGTGTCTGCCCTCAGCTCAGGTCATGATCCCAGAGTCCTGGGATCGAGTCCCACCTCAAGCTCCTTGCTCAGAGGGGAGCCTGTTTCTCCCTCTGTCTGCCGTTCCCCCTGCTCATGTGTGTACTCTCTTTAACAAATAAATAATTAAATCTTTAAAAAAAAAAAAAAAGAAGGAAAGAAAGAAAAAAGAAGAGAAGCGAGGGACCTGTGGACAGGTGTGGCCTATTTCAGGTGTGTTCTCTCACTTAATCCGCACAGCTCTCCAGGACTGCAGTACTAACATCTCCAGTTTTAGATGACAAGGCTGAGGCTCAGAGAGATGAAGCCATGGTGCCAAGTCACATAGCTCTGAAGATACAGAGCAGAGACACACACCAGGGCTGCCCTTTAACCCCAGGCCCTCTCCTGCCCTCACAGCTCCCATCTCAGTGCCAGGCGGAATCTAGGTCTGTTAACACAGGAATCGAGTGGCGGCTCACTTACCATGGTCACCAAAATCACAACTGACCTATTAACTCATCGCCAGAGCTTTCATTACACACACAATTACAATGCACACAATCACGGTCATTAGCGCAGCTTATAATGGCCAACACCATTAATAACTCAGCGCTCTTTCCATCACCACTAACGGGCCCCTCTCAGGGTCCCCAGCGCACACACCCGGAGCCAGTGAGGGACTCCGGTGGGAGTTGGGGAGCTTCAAAGCCTCTGCGGTCTGTCCCCAGCCCCCTGTAGCCGCTGAAGCTGCACCCACCCCACAGCCCTCCTCTCCTGGGTAACAGCCCTCTGCTGCCTGCGGTTGCTCCCACTCACTGAGGGAGAGAGGGCAAGCAGAGCCCTGAAACCAGAGTTAAAGGAGAGGAGAAGGACTCAACAAAGAGCCCCCCTGCCCATGTACCCTGCCACCCTCATCCTCACCCCTCCTTCATCCTTTGTACCTAATATCCATTTGCAACACATGATCCTGAATCCATGTTCCAATATATGGCAAGAACTGGATGGTCCAGGGGCACCTGTGAGGGCTCAGTTGGTTGGGCTTCCGACTTGATTTGGGCTCAGGTCATGATCTCAGGGTCATGAGATCAAGCCCTGGGTCAGCCTCCATGCTCAGCAGGGAGTCTGCTTCTCCCTCTCCCTCTGCCCCTCCCCGCACTCACCTGCTCCGGGTGCTGCCAGTCCACTGTTCAGAGCACCTCTCTTCAGAGAGACCTGGGGTGCCCAGCAGGACGGGCGCAGCCACAGAGTCACACAAGACTGGCACTTGGCCCACACTCAGGCATTTTCCCATGGGCACCTCTGCCTAAAATGCTATCCCCTCCCAACTTAACTGCCTGGCAAACCTCATTCCCCCATTAAGACTCACCTCAAATGTCACCACCTCTGTGAAGCCACCCGTGACTCACAGGTAGCAACCGTTGAGCATCATAGCTGTGTCTGAAGACTTCATCTTCTCCCCCTCCTGCCTTCCATCTCACTTCCTGGAGGTCACAACAGACAGGCCATATTCTCTCATATAATTTTCCAGGCCTATACCAACACACACAAAAACACATGTGAGCTTCCTTGCCCTTTTTCTTCCTTTCTACTTATGTGTTGAATGAAAAAATGGGATTTGCATTACTTCAAACTCGTTTTGTTCACGTCACATATCTGGGACAAGCTGCCAGGTCAGTGCATGTGGACAGAAGTCCCTCCTCCCCGCTGGTGTGACCACAGCGGAGCTCAGCCAGGTTATTTGGCCACGTCCCTCTCGATGGGTGTCCAGTTGTTTCTTTTCATCACTACGAACAGTGCTGTAACGAATGTCTTTATACATTTATCTCTATGTTCTGATGCTGTTACTCCCCTAAGATGGATTCCCAAGGGAGGATTTGTGAATCAGAGGGGCACTGTATTTTAAATTGTAATTGCTACAGCTGATTTTGTTCCTTAACTTTCATAACAATTCTCGCTCCCGGTGATGTACGCAAGAGCCCTCTTCCCACACCATGGCCAGAACTGGACATTCACTGTCTTTGTTACTCTTGCCAATAGATGGCTGATAGAACCTACCTCATAAAATTGTTGTGAGGTTTAAATATAAAACATAGTGTCCATTACCTAAGTTCTTAATTAATCTAGCCATTTATATAACTCTGATGTTGCCTTATTATCATATATCTAAGGAAAGCCTACAGTACATGATATGACTTGTACGTTTAGGAGAGAGAGAGTGTGTGTGTGTGTGTGTGTGTGTGTGTTTTAAGTAGATCTGATTTTCAATCCAGCCTTCTCTGCCCAGCTGTATAGCTCTCTGCTGGTCATTTAACCTCCCAGAGCCTCACGGTCTCCATCTGTAAAATGGGGACCTGAATGAACCCTGGGCATTCTTCTTCATGAGGAAACACAGAGGGCTCAAAGGAATTTGTAACTGTGAAGTCATCTTTAAGACTCCATTCAGGGGCACCTGGGTGGCTCAGTCTGTTAAGCGTCCGTCTTCGGCTCAGGTCATGATCCCAGAGTCCCTAACAGCCTATCACATGGCCTGACATGGTCCTGCATCGGGCTCCTTGCTCAGCTGGGTGTCTGCCTCTCCCTCTCCCTCTGACCCTCCCCCTTGCTCATGTTTTCTCTCTCTCTCTCTCTCAAATAAAATCTTTTTTAAAAAAGAGGTTTTGGGGGGGCATCTGGGTGCCTCAGTTGGTTAAGCAACTGCCTTCAGCTCAGGTCATGATCCTGGAGTTCCGGGATCAAGTCCTGTATTGGGCTCCCTGCTCTGCAGGGAGTCTGCTTCTCCTGATGACCTCTCTCTTCTCATGCTCTCTCTCTCTCTCTCTCTCTCTCATTCTCTCTCTCAAATAAATAAATAAAAATTTTTTACATTTTTAAAAAATAAAAAAGAGTTATTTTAAAACTCCATTTGGGTGTGGAAGGTTATGCTCTCATTTGCACTAATGACCAGGCATGGTCTCTAGGGGATTACCAAGCAGCTACTTCTCAGGAGAGCAGGCATCTTCACAGTCAGAGAAGGGGGAGGAGGTCTCCTGACCCCTGGCCTCAACACTTCAAAGAGGCATTTATGCCCCAAGCATCCTTGAAGACAAGGCAGATACATGAAGAGGAGCACAGGGTCACCTAAGGGGCCCCAAAGTAATCTCTATCCACAAATGTCCCCTGGCCCAGGGAATATCGTGGGATGTCTGAAATTTCCCTGCTAGAGACCTATACACTCCCTGAGGGACCAGGTCCACTCCTGTGACTGCCAATATTGCTTACCAAGCATTGCTGAGTCTGTGCTCTGTGCCAGGTACTGTCACAGTCAACTCTATGCTTGACTCCATCAAGGCCATCTCTCCACCTCTGGCTCCCACCTACGTTACAGACCCACATTCCCATCCCTCTACTAGAAATCTCTCACCATCCATGCCCCGCAGGCACCTGAAAACTCAGCATACCCCAGAGTGAGCTTATCAGCCTCCCCCACAAACCTGCCCCTGCTCCTCCTGCTTCCCCCTCTCCAGGCCTGGCCTCTCCCTGCTCTAGGCCATGACCCCAGAAGCCTCCGCAACCACCGACTCCCTCACTACATGCAAGCCATCAGTTACAGAGTCTTACAAACTCAGCGGCTTTCTCCATCCCCCCCCACCACCACCCAGGGCCAGGACTCAGATGAGGTGAGTAAGGCAAATTCAAGCAGGCGCTCTCAAGTCCCTGTAAGTGGTGACCTTGAGAGCGAGCATCTCCTTCAACCTGGCACCCTGGGAGCCTCAGCTGCCCACCCAAGTCCAGGCCAGCCCCGACCCCTTCAGCATCTCTCATGGGGCTAGGGCAGGAGCCTAGTCTCCCACCCCGGCCTCCAATCATCCTCTTCCCTGTGGCCAGATTAATCCTCCTCCCGAACCCCAGCTTTGATGCAATCGCATCCCCAAGAATCTCCCAGGGCTCGACCTCCACCTACTTAATTAGGTACCAAGCCTGGCACTCACGCCGGACAAGTGGGCCACCACGAGTCCAACACCTTTTTCAATTTTCCCTGCCAAAAAGCTTCAGAGCTGACATCTGATTGGATCATGAAAGCGCATGACACAAAAGCAGCCCAGCCATAGGTTCCCTAACAGCCTATCACATGGCCTGACATAAGAAGTTCTACATGGAGACAATGGGCATCAGTTGAGCCAATCAGATTTCTGCTCTCAGGAGTTTGTACTAGAAGGAAAAGAAAACTGTCTAATTGCGGGACAGAAAAAGCGGAAGCGAGGAACTGAACCTGAGTCACGTCAACAATTAATGCACTTCCTCCAGCTGTGCAGGTCCTGGCCCCATTTTAAATCCAGTCGGCCTTGGTTTACCAACCCTGCGACAGTTCTCTTACTGGATCTCCATAAGAAGGCCCTTATGATGCGAGAAGGGTCTTGTGTGAGCTCGCTTGAGTGGACCCCCCACCCATGAAATCAGAACATTCACAGATCTTTTCAGTACAGCCCAGCTTAGAATTTTGGCTGCAAGTCACAGAAAGCTAATGGGGGCTGGCTTTTGTTCCAGATGAATTAAGGACTGGAAATGGGACACAGAAGGCCACCAGGAGCCAGCCCTTTCTCTCTCCCTCTGCAGTCTACTTGGTCCCTGGGTAGAGCCTACCCACTCCCAGCTTCCCAGTGAGAGATCCCAACCCTGCCTTCTCCCAGCCCCAGGGCTAAATTTCCGGAAAAGAGAATCTGATTGATCCCATTTGGGTCAGTTATGCAATGAGCCAGGAGCCAGGAAACCAGCTCAAGGGAGAGGCATAGCTCCTGAATCTTTGAATTCTTCCCCTAGGTTAGCCTTTGACCTCTCCCAATCCACCCCCACCCATGGCTATGTTTTTGCCAGAAGGGGCTGGGGACCTGCCTCTTCTGAGCTTGCAGGCCTGGCACCGGGTCAGGAAGGCTGGATCCCACGAAGACCCCCAGAGTGGAAGACAGCTGTCTGGAGAAGGCTGGAAACCCCAGCTCCTGCCACGCACCCCCGAGCTTGGCTCTGACACTCACACACCCACAGGAAAAGGGGCATCTGATGCTTCTGTGCAGTTCCAAAAAGCTGGAGACATCTCACACCCACAAATAATAATCATGATTTTCTGTAATTATTATTTGTGTATTTTGCATAATTGTCATAATTATTATCATCAGCTCATCAGCCTCCCATCCCAGCGTGCTCTCCTCCCGTCCTCAGCCCTGAAATCCGATCACATGGGGCACCCTTTCCTGCCTCTGACTTCCTCCCTAGAGCTGGTTCTTAGGGATTCCTTCAGAAAACGGGATGGGACACTCCTGCGGGTTCTTCTGCCTTGCTTATCCCTCCAGAATATTTCTGGCTCTTGGTGCTTCCTCTGTGCCAGGCTGCGCTGGGGAGGGAGATGAGAGAAGCTGGCTTGCTCACTCGCTGTGGTAAGGAACTCAGACCTCCCTGCCCCCCTCCCAACAATGGGGTGCTGGAGCTTGGACCAGCCCAGGAGTTCAGGGTCTTATCCCAGCTCTGCATTCCAATGTGTGACATCACATGGGCAGCCTGAAATCAGTCATGGTGGGAGTATTTACACCATAGAAATGGGCCAAAGGGCTTTTTTCCAGGGAGATAGTTGGTGAACATTGATCAGCACACCTTCAAACCCACCCTCCGCACCACAGATGGGATATTCTTTTAAGGCAGAAATGGAACCATGTCACTCTCCTTCAGGGGCTCTATGTGACCCACAGGTGAAGCAAACTCTGCAATGGAAGGCCTCCAAAGCCCTCCATGGCCCAGTCCCAGCCCACCACTCTGACTTCCATCCTTACTGTCTCCCCAGCCCTTCCAGAAGTCTCTGCACCCCTTCTAGTCTCCTTCACATGCACCCCGACTCTGACTTATCTTTCCCACCTGCCTCCGCCCCTTCTCCCTTCAGTTTGGGCTATGATGCCACGTCTGTCTACAAACCCTTGCCTGATGCCCCTGTTCTTAACCACTCTCAGGGCAACACGCATTTTCACCATGAGTCTTCCTGCCTGTACCCCCTAAACCTCTTGCAGGGTCAAGTTTAATGTCCTCATTCTTTTACCTTCAGCACCTGGCACAGAGTCCCGCCATGCTGAACTGAATAGACTCAAACCAAATTGCATCAGAGAGAATCCACAGCACAGCCCAGGAGAGGCTGTGGGCAGGGTCCTCACCAAGCCCGAAGAAAGTGTGCTCTGGAAGGTCAGAGAGAGCAGGACGCTTCTGATGGGGACACATCCTCAGGGAGAAACACCAGGCCACACCCTCCTCTTGCTGCTTCCTGCCTACCCTGGGGCACCCCCATGAATGCCCCCCGTCGTTTCCCTATCTGCTGCTACAGCCTCATAACACTTTGGGTGCAGGAACCCCCCATCTCTACATGCCTCATGTGTGCACATGCGCGCCTGCACGCACACACCCACACGCACACGCACACATCTCCAACTCCCCCGCTCCCAAAACTGGCTGAGGCTGAATTTCCCAGATCCCCAGAGAAAAACAATGGGGGCGGGGTACCTGGGTGGCTCAGTGGG